TTAAATTTCAGTACATTTTAAACAATCTTCAGATTAAAATTTTGGCATTCACATTAAAAAATAAATTCTGTGCTTAATTCTCAGCTTTATCAAAAAAACCAAAGCATACAAAATTATAACAAAATTCAATAATTGGATGTCTTAAAAAAAACAGAAATTCAGAACCGTTTACAGTGACCCAGAAATGAACCCAAACCATGTAATAATCGATTGCAAAAGTCTAACCTTTCAAAGCAATCCAAACAACATTCACATTCAACCATCAAAAACCTAACCTTACAACAACAATCAATTGAAAGAATTCAGATCCAAAAATCAATTACAATAATTCAGATACAAAAATCAATAACAAGAATTCAAATACACAAATCAATTACAAGAATTCAGACTTGATGATGGAAAGAAAAACAAATCTAATTTCCATTCATCCAACACCTAACCCTACATAGAAAACAATCACAACAAAATCCAAACTTTGAAGAAATCCAAACAATATAAAACCCATTCCACATCATCCAAAAGACAACCCTACTAATAGATAACCATTTCCTAAAATCCAGACCATGGTTACCATAATTCACTCAACCACTGACGATCCACGATTTGGGTACACCGATCTCAAATGGGTTGTGTTCGCAATCCAGATCACAAAAATGAACGACCCCAATTTATAATACTACCCCTAAATCAATTCGCTTTAGAACATATAGCACAAATATAAAATATATATTAATTGACTACATGTATATAGATTTATAATTATATATTTTTTTAGTTAATAGAAAATCAAGCACAACTATAAGATAAATAGTAATTGACTTAGTATTTATGAATATTCTGTGATATATAATGTTGTATAGTAGTGAAAACGATCTACATAAGAGTTCTAAAACGAATTGCAATCTAAAATACTATATCATCTATGCCTACTCACATCGTATCGCGTACCTAAGAAGTGTCGTACCATGTACCCGTACCCGTACCACGNTATATAATGTTGTATAGTAGTGAAAACGATCTACATAAGAGTTCTAAAACGAATTGCGATCTAAAATACTATATCATCTATGCCTACTCACATCGTATCGCGTACCTAAGAAGTGTCGTACCATGTACCCGTACCCGTACCACATACCAAAGTGACCATGATTCAAGGAACATTGATCCAAACAAGAAAAAAGCAATTAAAGCATAACCANAAACACAACACCACCACATAATTAAGTAGCATTAAACATACTCTACGAAAGGAAGGATGAAATTCATGAGCACCCTAGAAACAAGCATAAACAATATGTTCACCCAGGAAACCAAGATTTGTCAAATCATAATAAAGTTATTAATTAAAGCAAGTATTTCTTTGCCTTCTTCCCTTGCCTGATCAAATTCGGAAAACATCCGTCTGGAATCGCTCATCATACAACCTCCAGTGGCCATACCTGTCAGTGTGAAAGACTGACCTAGGGATATAGAAATTGGGCTTCTTGATATTAATCAAATTCTTTAAATTAGACGTGGCATTTGCAATATCACGGCTAGTCACGTTTGCACAACCAGATAGGTCCAAATATTCGAGGTTCAAACACCGCTCAGAAATTAAAGCAAGCCCTTTGGCTGATAACTTGGAAAACCGAAGTTCAAGATGCAGTAACTGTGGCATAAATTTTCCAATTGCAGCAGCGTCTGAATCTCCATCTTGAGGACAGGCATTCAGATATTCAGTTGGGACAATTACATGTTGGGAAGGATCCAACCAATTCATCAGGTTCCTTTTCAGAATTTTGAGGTTAGGACAGTGCCTTCCAATCAAAGCCAAAGACTCATGAGATATTTCATAGCAATAGCTAATGTCAAGTTCCCTAAGCTTGGGGCACCCATGACCAATGTTAATCATGGAATCATCTGTAACATTAGGGCTGCTCTTAATAGAGAGAACTTGAAGGTTTGAGCACCTGTAAAAGAAGTAATACAAAATCAATTTTGATCATTCAAGTACTAAAAATTCATGGTAAAAACCCATTTTCAACTCTAAAACCAAAAAAAAAAAAAATTGCTTTAAGGAAATAAAAAAGGTCAGAAGACATTCAAATATCATAATCAATTAAGAATTCAAACCAGAAATACCAGCTGCAAGATTAAGTGGTGTATCTCTTGTCATGTCACCCCCTAACGGCAAACATTGGATTCAAGTCCCACGGAAGGCACGGGTGCAAGTACAATTAGGGAAAAACTAATCATATCTTCCTTAATCTTATCTCAACATCCAACAAGAAATGAAGAAAAAGAGTATCAAACCTGAAATATGTTGTGCAAAATAAAAAGAAAAAAAAACAATTTCACAGGTCAAAGTTAAAAAAAAAAACTTACAACAATAAACAAAAAAGTTTTACGCCAATGAAAACAGGATAAAGAAGTTTTATCTTTCAAGCCTAACTCAAACACACAACAATCAATGTCCTGCTTTAGAAACTTCTTTCATTATACATATCCTATCTCAGTCATACAAAGCCTGTTAGGATCATAATCCATGGTAAAATTTCTACCCCTAACCCTATCACACAAAAAGATGGCTTAAAACAACCAAACAATTCAAAACTCACTTCCCCTATTCAAGCCAGCTCTACCATACAAAAACCAGTCCATTGATCAGTGCAACCAATGGTACGATCTAAACATGAAATATGCAATTAATTCAAATCCAACAATACCATAAATCAATCAATTGCAAAAACTGAATCCTGAAAAACCCAGCTAAAGCAGAACCCATTTTTATCATCCAAAAACTAAGCCAGTCTTTGATAACCCAAAGCACCACTTAAGATTGAAAATATCTTCCATTTTCTAAATTAAGTGTTTTTGACAACCAAAACACACATCCCTTAAAAAATAAAGAATCTCTTAAAGATAGAATAAATTTGTAAGTAGTAATCTCTTACTTATAATTGAATGCTAAATATGATCAATGACTTAAGATTTTCTAAACTTTCACGATATACCAATTTTTCCTCAAATAAGTTAGTCCCATACCATTTTAAACCCCAACTTTCCACCACTGACCAACAACATCACCTCACCACCTGACCTCCCAAACCCAACACCCCCACCATTACCCCCAACCATTGCCGCCGCTGCCACAATTACCATAACCCCCCCCACCCCCC